AAAACAATCACGATCTTCTTCCCAACAAAGTGGTTTTGGTACGCTGGCGAGTTCTTCGATGCACGGTAAACTTCTTCGACAAATGCTGCGTTGTGCTCCATCTTGATGCTTCCACGCTCCATGCGATAGCAGACCAGACCAACGTCAGGCGACACAGCACATTGGATTTGCAGGTTGGGCCCTTTCGATGGCGGAAGCACCAAACAGGCACGAGAGCCTTGCTTAGACCGTCCAACAGAGCGATGACAGTAGATGTTGTAGTTGGTCTCGTCATAGTAGACAATAAAGTTACCGTCACGCTGATGTTGGACGAGAGTTTCGGCAAATTCTTTTCGTTTGGCCTTGTTTGTGTCGCTGTTGCACGTGGATGGTTCAATGCGAACTTGTTTCACGGTATAGAGCATACCGAGAAGGTGGCGACTGATTGTTTGCTTTGAGATGAGTGTTCCTGGAAAGTCTTGCGCCACGAAGTCTCGCATTGTACTGAGGGTGTACTGACAGTTTGTGTCGAGATAGCGCTCGAGAGCTGCCAGGATTTCAGGCGTGACTTTGGTTCGTCCCGGACGTGCGCCGCCACGCTTTTGGTGGGCAACTTGTCCTGTGCGTACGATGCGTCGGGCAGTGGTCAATGCGATGCCGTTGTGCTTGGCAACGACCTTCCAGTTCTCCCCATTGGAGTGCGCTGCGAGGACTCGAGTCTTTTCTTCGGTTGTAGCGTGCTTTTGTTTGCCTTGTACAGGCATGCGAGAAGTGCGATGCAAAAAGGAGAATGCTCTCTCTGAAATGCATTCTCTTTACTTCGTGTGGCCTTGGCTTGGCGGGTGTTTATCGCGCCTAAAAATTGACCACTTTGATTGGAACAAAATCCATTTTGATTGGAACTTATCCACGTGGCACAACTTGTCAAAATTTATATTTTTTTATTCAAACCACTTTGATTGGAACAAAGTGCCAACTTGATCGGGAAAAGGTGTAGTAATGTTTTCATATCTCGAAGTGAGCATGTCCGAGCACCAAATAATTACAGTCGGCAACATAGCGCCGGTAAGTAGTTAGCGTGACGTTCTAATGTTAGATGGCAAGATGGGAAGGAAGTACAGTACCAAGCGTAGTAAGCTGCTCCACAAGGTTGATTTACCTCTATAACAAATATGGGAAGTTCAATACTTGTAGTATCATGTTTAACAGGTACGATATTTTTCAATGATGGGCAATTAACGTGCATACCACGTTGCCCACAAACAGCTTAAAACAAGCGGTCCAATTTAAGGTGCACCATTTTCAGCATAGTCATTGTTATTATATTTGCGTATTTGTGGGGCGGTTAGGTTAAAACCTACCTTTCTACAATAGGAATTGATTCGCGTGCACCTTAAAATGGATCCAGTACTTTAAATTGAACTTTTATGTTGTGAATAATACTTCGAAGTACAGCTGATCCATTCTCCGGAGAATATGCGGTAAATATATATGAAATAAACTATAGCACTAGATTTTCCCCACATTGATTGGAACAAATAATTGAACCTAACTTTTGAGCTTTCCAATCCTTGTCAAAATGTACTGTCTACGACAATGTTGACCGTAATTAGTGCGGACCGCACTAATTTTCAACCTTGTCACCAGACTTACGTACGATATATGTATTAGTTCGACCCGCACTATATCTCAATCCGCACTAGTTATGGAATTGGAGAATTATTAATAGTGCATATCGCAACAATTTGATTATTGAAAATTAGTAAGGATTGTTATCTTGATTTTTGTATGTGGGATTTGTTATGAAAAGCCACATGAACAGATCGGCATTATTGTAAACAGTGAATAGTGCAGACGTATCATGTACAAGAGTTATTATATCACACTTGATGGCTTTCTATGACTACTGATACTACCAATTGGGCATTGTGGCATACAAGCATCCAATATTGCACGAAATTGTCCGCACTATTACCAACCACAAATTCCATCATACCTGGTACATGTACTGTACTTCGAATTATTTATATGGATTTCAAATATCCGTGACATGGTGCAAGTCATCTAAAGACTACAAAAAAATGCCTTGTCTTTCGACAGCTATTCCAACTTTGTATTGATATTTTTTAGGAAAATAAGCCGTAATAACGATACAGAAAGCCCAACAGAAGTTACGGTTCAGATTTTCGATTGGTGAAAAATTGATCGAGTAATAGAATTTAAACCAACCGGCCTTGGTCACTACTTTAGGTTTCATCCAACAACTTCATAATAGAGCTCTTTCGAGCTCTTTCGAATGTCATCTACTCTTCAACAATTATAATATATTAACCTTAGTATCTAAGGTTGGTACTAATATTAAATGTAAGTCTTATTAAATATAATACTTCGAAGTAAGTACTATGAAGTATTAATAGTGAGAACCACACTAATTCTGAATCCACTACTAGTATTCTTAATCCGTCCTACTAATTATGGTCAACGGTGTAGATGCTCTAATGCTGAGATGCTCTAAGAGCATCTCCAACGGTGTTTTTAGCAGTAGAATATTACTACTACTAATAGTATTATTGTATATAAAAAAAGTACAACTTGATAGCGACGAAGTACTTCGAAGTAGTACTTTTTGCTCAACGGTCGATGGACGTGTGCCGCGCCAGGAACTCAATGCCGTCCTTGGTGATTTTGTTGCAATACCACAAGTTGATGGACGACAAGCGAGGCAACGCGACCAAGCATTTCACACCCACGTCCGATAGCTCGCTGCATTCCGCCAAGTTGAGCGACTTGAGCGTTTGTATCATAGCAAGGTGGGGCATGGCGTCGTCCGTGATAAGGACACAATTCCCCATGTCCAACCTTTCCAGCGCCGGTAGCGACGACAGCGCCACCACGGCGGCTGTCGTTAGCTTGGAGCAGCCGGCCACATCGAGACTGCGTAGTTTGGTCAAAGTCGCTAGCTGGGCCATGCCGTGGTCCGTAAGTCCGTGGCAGTACCACAACACGACAGAGGTTAAGTTCACGAGGCCGCTCAACACCCGACAGCTCGCGTCTGTGAGGAGGCGGCAGTTGGCCAGGTTTAACATGCGTAACTTGGTCAGATTCTTCAGGTGTGTGACGCCGGCGTCCGTGAACTGACAGCACCGCATCAGGTTGAGGGATTCCAAGTTTACGAGCTGTTCCAATCCGTCGAGCGCTTGGTCTCCGAGCTGGCGGCACTTGGACAAGTCCAGCACCTTTGTCGCGGGGTTTTATGACAAGTTGATGGGTAGGCGCGGCGCAGGCAAACAAGGAAACTCAAACCCAGGTGTGGAGTTCGAGGCAAAATGTAAAGTCGAGTTAGTTAAAGGTGTGGTCGTAGCTGTATTCCTAAGGCTCTAAGTTCTACTGCATTGGCAGTTGACGGTTGAGGGATCTCCGTCTTGGTAGATCTTCAACACCCGGATTTGGGAGGTATATAAGGTCTGAGAGGTCTAGTCAGAACGAGAAAGGCAACGCGGTCTTCAGGAGAGGCAGAGGGTCGATCGGGGCCTCGTCTGGCTTCGCAGCCTCGGCAGAGTCGTGGACCCCGCAGTCGCACCGTGACACCTTGAGCTGGCATAACGGCGCCAACGCACCGATTCCAGCATCGGATATGCCAGTGCACGATCCTAACGTCAACGATTCCAGCCGCGTTAGCCTTGCAACGGAAGTCAGGCCCGTGTCCGTGATACTTTCGCAATTGCCCAGGTCCAGGGTTTTCAATGCGAGCAGTCTTGAACCCATCAGCGCCAGCGACACATCGGTAAGCCGTAGGACTTTCATAACGTTCAAAAATGTAATGCACGTGGACCCGTGCACCAAGTTGGCAACAGTGTCGTCGGTCAAGTTGGAGCAATACCACAAATTGCACGATTCCAGGGCGGGAAAGTGGCGTAGCATGATGGTACCGGCATCCGATATGGAATAGCACCCGGACAGATCCAGCGATCGCAACTTCACCAACGAATGCAGGTGCCACAAGCCTTGGTCGCTGACATCGCCGAGGTTGGCTAACTCCAACACTTCGAGTTTCATGCATCGAATGATGGCGTTCAAGCCGTTGTCTGAGATTTGACTGCAATTGGACAGAACCAACGACTTCAAATTGACCAGTTCACCCACGTACTCCATGGCCATGTCCGAGAGTTGGCCTTGATGGCAATACCACAAGTTGAGCGATTCGAGGGCTGTCAAGTGGGTCAATGCAGCGCACGCGTCGTCGTCGATTCCTTTACAGTTCTTCAGGTTTAATGACGTCAATGTGCGAGGTAACGCTGCCAAACTCGTAATACGGCCGCAGTAGCCCACGTCCAGCGATGTCAGTTGTGGCAACTGCCCCATCAGCACCATGGTGGCGTCGGTGACCTGGTCGCAGCCTTTGAGATGCAAAGTCTGCAGCTTGAGCAGTGACGCCACCAATGTCAACCCGTTGTCTGTGATCGCATTGCATCCAGACATGAGTACCTTCGACACGTTAGGAAACAAACGCAGCAACCTGTCAACGTGGACATCCTGTAGCGCTGCTCGAGCCGGCACCAAGTCCAGCGCTCGAGTCGCCACACGCAGTTCTTTTCGGATCGCGGTGCAAGTGGACGCCAGTTGCAGCCACTCGTCGGCGTAGCAATAGGCCGCCAAGAGCGGCATTTGCACGACAACCAACAACATTTGGAGGGCACAAGGTGGCGGTGGTGGTGGCAGGGCAGTTGATGTTTGACGAGTCCTTTGCGGGACGTGCAACTGCTGGAATAAAGGCAGTGGCGAGGCCCAGTACTTGTCTGCAGTGCGACCACAACCAGTCATGACGGCAATTGACTGACTCTAGGTCGCTGAAACGAGGATGAGTTTTGTGCAGAGAGCGCGCCAACTGCGCTTACTTGACATGTATACAGTACATTTGTAAAGGCTTTCTTTTCGGTTGAGAATATACGCCACGGTCCTACGTAAAACCGATGCCAAAACAAGTGCAAAGCACAATATTTAATTGCTACTTCAAATTTATAATTTTGTCAGCTGGCTCGTAGGTTGAATATATGCTGGGAATTGTATGTCGGGAACGAAAGCTACATTCACCCATCTATCTCAGCCCTATCCGGATTCGGATAAGGTATATCTCGTGTTACGCAAGACGGTATATCTGCAACAATAACTGTTACTCGTACAATAAGTACATGTATTACTTTGAAATAGGAAACTTCACACTGTCAGTCCCAGCCAAGGGCATCGTTATGTACTTGTGTGGTCCTCATTAGGCACAAGAACTCATGTGGACAAGGGCATCTTTTTCGACTAACGTTATCATGCGTGTAAATCCGATAAGAATTTATGAACAATCTATGTATTCGAATTGCCTCCCTCCATCGAAGCACTACACCCTACCAGGACGTTCCCCGACCAGGGTCAAACACTGGTTTTGATGATATCCGAGTAAAAGTTGACATAACGTTACCTAACGTTATTGTAAGCGTTTACAGTCGCACCAGTGGGAATGCACTTACAATAGTACATGTACTGTAGGGTATCCTAGGTATCGAAAACTACCTGTTCTCGGGGAATATCGAATTCACGGATAATTTTTGATGGCAAGATTGTCGACCAAGCACACGAGAAATTCCCCGGCAGCAGGTAGTTACTATACGTATGGCCATGGTTCCGTGACACTTTTTGGGACTCTTAGATGGAGGTGTTCCTGTACTCGAAATTGCTATTATGAAGTATAATACTGTAGTGTTTCTTAAATAGGAGAATTAATGCAGCTCGTAGGGCTGTTGAAATTCGTATTCGTGTTGATGGAAAATGAACTAAAAGAGTGAAAATATCCATAACTTACAGCTAGGCTGAAAACAGTTCGGGGACACTTGATTTTATCCAGTTACCACTCAAAACAGAAATGAAATTGCAGGTGATTGGTTGAAGATTTCAGAGTGATTGCTTTCTACGAACCAAGTTGTCATGGAACCACGCCCATACCTACCTGAACTAACTGTTCTCGGGGAATATCAACGTCACGGATAATTGTCTTGGTTCTTGCATAGTTAAGTATTGTGAGTTCTACTCAAAATTTCCGAGCGCGATTCGTTGAATCGCGACGGAGAAATCACGCCACGAATGAAACTTCCTGTGAAAACCTATAATATGATGTGTAAGGGTTTCTGAGCGCATCCAAACGCCAAATGGTCGATCACGCCACAGGGGAGTTCACGCCGACGCAGTCACCCAGTGAAGCAGCTTCCTGGTGTCACTCCGTTTCATCTCAATCACCCTTACGCAGAGCTCTCCAAGAAAGCCCAGGCATTGTCCAAACTCCTGCACAGCCAGTTGTGCACAACCGAGTGTCGCCATATCCGCTGCGCGTTCGTACTGCAGCTCATCGCGTCGAAAGTCAGACCCCGTCGGTGCAACCCTACCCGAGGTGATAGTACCCGTAAAGACAATGGTAGACAGTGTTCGGATGGGCATGTTGTCGTGTGGCTGCAGCCTCCATGATGCAAAATGCTCCCCCACACCAAGACCAAAATGATTTGCCGAAAAATGTGTTTGTTTTGACCAATAACTGTCCTGGATTCATTTGAGAATCATTTCAATTCAGTGGGCTGAATGGTGCTGTTTCAGCAAATTTGGGCCGAATTCACAATACTAGAATAGTGGAATGTCTAGCGCTTGGGTCCCAGTGGTCAATCACTGAAATGCACGGAAACAATTACTAGTACGTAGTATACGTATTTTTTTCCCACTGGGGTTTGGACGGAGTCCTAGCTTCCAGGTCTGCACGGTGTGTGTCATATCTGTGATAAGAACTGGGTTCTCCGGACGATTATCCGTTAATACTGCAATCCCTGAGAACAGGTGTAGTTTTCGACCTCCAGCAGGTGTAACCAGCTGCTGCCGGCGCGATTTCCTCATGGTCTCTACTATTAATACTACTACTATTAGTAGTAGTAACATTACTTACTGTAG